TGGCCCTCGACGCTTTCGCTGTTGAGGAACTCGAATCCGTCCCCGTTTGGCGTCGCCGGCCCAGCCGAGTCTTCCTCGACTGCTTCCGCTTCATGTGCCCGGTGTTCCACCTCGGGTTCAGCTCGAGGGTAATCCCCTATTACCCTTGTGGGCGTTTCCCTAACGCCCGTATCCGGGGAGTTTCGTCCGCTCGTAGACGTCCCATCGCTCTCCGACCCGCTGGAGCTCGAGTCGGATGTCCCCGACGAGCTTGGCGATCCTTCTGGCTCGGGGGCTCGGTCGGGTGTGTGTTGTGGTCGTTGCTCGACCTCTGGGGAGTAGGACATGATGTCCACCTCCACGCTGCTGTGCTTGATCGTGTTGTCGTAGTCTGCGATCGAGGCGTTCTGGCTATCTGAATCCGACATGTTTTCTACCTAAAGGTCGGTCGGGGTTAGTACAGGGTTCGGGAAGTTAGTCTGAAGTTAGTTCTATCCTACTCCTACGCAAAGCTAAAAGCGATGTAAAAGCTAAAGAATTAAGAGCTTACCGGTTGATGATACTTGGAAGAAAACTTGAAGCTTGGTTTGCTCGACTGGTTCGTTGAACTGCTGCTCGGGACTCTCTGAGGGTACCGATTGCTTCAGTGGATTGAGGAAAGTTCAAATGAAGGCCTCAAGGGCCTATTTATAGGAGAGCATTTAGGCGGGAAACCAATCCACTTGCGTGACACGACCCGCACTGATTCCAAGGACGACAGTGGCCAACACGTGGCGAGGGAAGGAATGACAGCTGGTCGGTCGGTTTGTTGGCCGACGTTTGGGCTTTTTCATCCCGTCCCGTTTTTTCCCGGATGGTCAAAAAGGCCCGGGCTGGGGGGCTTTTGGTAGGGAATACCCCGACCGACATAAGCTTCATCATGACCGACTTGCCTTTGTCTTTGTCTTTTTGTCTTTGCAGGTAGCAGGTCGGGCTTTTTATGAAGAACCCGGTCGGGAAGCGACCGGGAATTGCCCGAGCGTTAGTGTCGACCACCGAGCGGAATTCCTTTGGCGAGAGAGCTGACAAAGGACACGTGGCGGCTCTTTACGACGACAGACAGGGTACCCGGGAGGATGACACGTGGTGGCTACGTGGAGAACATGCCGAACGGCCGAATCCTTGTCCCCGGCACAACGGCTATAAATACCCACAGTAGCTACAGTGTAGGGGACTTTTGGACGATCGATAGGTTGTTATTAGAGAATCCCGACCGCAGTCAGTCGGTACTCAGAGCAACCAAGTAGATTGTACTTAGGGCCTTTACCGTGATCAATAAAGTCTTTTACTTGCTTTAATTGGTCTCGGGTTTATTTTATATTGCTCACGTAGAATTAGCAGTATCAGATATATTCATAATTTCATAACTATATATTCACAATTTCATAACTATATATCCACAATTTCATAACTATATGTCTAGAATTACATAATTATATATTCATAATTTGACAACAGTACATTCAGAAATAATAACTACACATTCATAATTTCATATCCATATATTCATAATTTCACAACTAGACATTCATAATTACATAACTCCATATTCAGAATTCTTAAAGTGCTTGTTCACAGAGAACTATATCCGTGATTGCATAACTACACATCCATAACTTCATAACTATATATCCATAATTTCATAACTATATATTCAGACTTGCATAACTATATATTCATAATTACAAGTCGATTGGAGTTTCTGTAAAAAAAAATAAAAAAAAAATTGATTGGTGGAGTTAAACGGTGTCACTGATGGTACCGTTACTCCATTATAGTAAAACGGTGTCGTTTTGCATGGTGCACACGGTTGCACGTCATAATTTGCGCAAATTTTACTGGCTATGTGACCAAGTAGAAAACGATGTTGTTTAAAAAAAAAATTTGTTAAATAGAAAATTTTGTATTGGTCCATATAACATCTCTCATTATTTAGTTTCATTTTATATACACTATAATTTCATTACTATACCAATAAAGTACGTAGTATCATTTTAATTCAACTACAATTTCATTTGATAATATACACTTAATATGTGAGACCTACTATTCAATTTTATTTTATATACAATATAGTTTCATTACAGCACCACTAAAGTATCATTGTTATTTATACCCAAAAAAAAAAAAAGTATCATTGTTATTTAACTACAGTTTAATTTGACAATACTCACTCAACATGTGAGACCTGCTATTAATTTTCATTTTATACACACTGTAGCTTCATTACAGCACAACTAAAGTATGATTCTAATTAAACTACAACTTCAAGTAACAATGTACATTCAATATGTGAGACTTATTATTCAGTTTCACTTTATACACAATGTAGTTTCATTACGTCACCACTAAAGTATCATTTTTATTCAACTACAGTTTCATTTGATAATATGCACTTAATATGTGAGACCTATTATTCAGTTTCACTTTATACACATTGTAATTTCATTACATCACCACTAAAATTTCATTTTATGCAACCAATTCTATCCCACCTTTTGTGCAAAAGTAAAGGAATAAAATATGATCTTTTCCCAACGCATTGATAAACTCAATTTTCTCTCTCTAGAGATCTACCTACTCGCAGCTCCAAGAAGACAAAGCGTGATGCTTCTGTCCTTGAACCTTCATCACCATCGTTACCAGCTTCGGGCTCACCGCATGTAGTGCTACCCCAATTGAGACATGCTGCCCCTCTTCTCCAAGAATCAGAGTCTTGGGAACTCCGCCCTCCTCTTTTACCCCCAATGCAGCAGAGTTTTGGGCCCAGAGAACCAGAGCACCGGCGACGACATTTACTGTGGCTCCCGAGGAGGATATGGTCGACGACGACATTGACGAAGATTGCCCGGTGGTGGTGATTTCTGCGGAAGATAAAGAGAGGATCAGACGACCATGGCGGCGATCCCTCATCCTCCGGCTACTAGGAAGACGAATCGGCTACTCATACCTACTCCAACGCCTCAGAGCGATGTGGAAGCCGGAGGGACCAATGGACCTTATAGCGCTCAATCATGACTATTTCATCGCAAAGTTTGAAGCTCTTCGTGACTACGAATTCGCTAAATTTGAGGGACCATGGGTAATTTTCGATCACTATCTCTTTATGCAGGAATGGAAACCTGATTTCGATCCTCAGGATGACAGATCCAAAAAGCTACTGGTATGGGTTCGTCTCCCGTCCATCTCGGTTGAGTATTATGATGAAGTGATCTTGAAGAAGATTGCTCGGAAAGTTGGGCGGCCGGTCAAAGTTGATACCACTACTAGCCTCGTGTCGAAAGGAAACTTCGCACGGGTGTGCGTGGAAGTTGACATCACAAGACCACTGCGATCAAAGTTCACGTTGGAAGACAAGGTGCACCCGGTCGAATACGAAGGCATGCATCTAGTTTGCTTTGTTTATGGCCTTTACGGTCATCGTCTTAACCAGTGTGGACTGTGGAAAAACCACTAGCACTCTAGCTTCATTCTCCGATAACGTCTCAGGCAACCTGGCACAGAATGATGACCATTCACTTCCCCAATTGCAGCCAGAAACAAGGCCAATTCTAACAGACAAGTTTGGCCCTTGGATGATCGCGCCTCGTAGAGACAGAAGAGGACCAAGAAAACCGGACCAGCGTCCGAATCAAGCCAACAATGTCATGGCGGATAGACGTCAGTGATCTCCTAAGGATAACACAGTTCAACAACCCGACTTTCGAAACCGGTCTTGATTTACACCGCTTGCCAATCTTGGAGGCGAGGATACGGACCTAGAGCTGGCCTTCCAAATGGCCTCTACGTCCAGTGCTGCTCCAGCAACCCATCACCAGGTCGCAGGAACCCATGTGCAGACCCAGGCAACTCACACTCCCCCAACCGCAAGGCATTTACCTAGAGAGTCCATCCCCGATCTGAGACCTCTAAGACAGCCCCTTGCCCGTTCCAACAGGAGCTTTGGCAGCAAAGGAAGTGCTCCTAGGCGTGCGGCGACAGAGCTTGATCAAACCGTTGTCCGCGGATATGATAAGGGCAAGGCCATATCCACAACGGTAGTTCACCATACAGATGATCCCATGATGGCTGATCTGGAGAACACAATTCCTCCAAATAAGCCTCTGGACTCGCTGCAAAGGCCTAAACCACCGGATGCGGCTATGACCGACTTGGTTGATTCTGCAGACACTTCTGCTCTCAATGACTCCGGGGATGTCTTCCCCTTGCGCTCTTGAGCGCTCTATTTTTCTCTCTATTTATCTATGAATATTATCACTTGGAATTGTCAGGGAGCAGTATCCAAATCGTTTCACCGCTCCCTCAAACATCTGATTCGGGTTTTTTCCCCTTCGAATTTATGTCTTTTTGAGCCTAAAGTTTCAGGTGCCCAGGCTAACACCATTTTCTTGAGCTTTGGATTCAACGACTGGTTAAGAGTCGAAGCAGTGGGCTACTCCGGTGGAATTTGGATTTTCTGGAATATTACTTGCTCTTTAGAAATTTGTTTTACTCACCTGCAATTTTTCTTGATGCAGGTTCATGAAACCAACTCTGCGCCTTGGTTTTTTGCAGCAGTTTATGGAAGTCCGAGTTTAGCTCTCAGGAGGAAGCTATTCTCCGATTTAACGACACTTAGTATGGATATTCGAAGCCCATGGCTAGCTGCAGGTGACTTCAACTCCGTAGTCAGTCTAGAAGAAGTTAGCAATATGGAGAACTGGCAAAGCTCTCGCTGTACTGATTTTTCAGACTGTATCTTTCAAGAGGGCCTTATGGACCTGGGGTTTACAGGGTCAAACTTCACGTAGATGAGAGGGCTCAACCAAACGACCTTTAGAGGAGCGAGATTGGATCGTGGGTTGTGTAGTATGGACTGGAAAATCTTGTTTTCGGACTCACTAGTTGAGCACCTGTCAATGCTCAACTCAGATCATACTCCTTTACTAATTAGGACCACATCGACAAGTCTGGCTACCAGGGCAAGGCCATTTAGATTTAATATGGCATGGTCATCTTACCATTCGTTCCAATCATTTGTTCACCAAGTATGGAATAGGGAGATTGGCCTTGAACCTAACAAAACACGCATGGCTCAAGCTCTCTCTTCTTGGAACAAAGACGTTTTTGGCAATATCTTTCAAAGGAAGAAAAGAGTTATGGCTCGGCTGTGTGGTGTTCAATACAGACTGGCTGAATACTGTAGATCGGACTTGCTCAAACTGGACTGCAAGCTGCGTAAGGAAATGGAGGAAATACTCTACCAGGAAGAGCTCCTTTGGTTCCAAAGATCTAGGGAGGAATGGATCGTCTCCAGAGACCGCAACACGCATTTTTATCATGTGGCTACTTCAGTAAAAAACAACTCCCTAAAGGTGAAGCTGAAAGATGATTTAGGAAATTGGATTACAGACGTAACTGCTATACAAGACCATATACGCTACTACTTTGTGGAGTTCTTCAAGGCGAACCCGACGCTCACTACTGTTCTACCTCGCGGTTGCTTTCCTCCTATACACAATGATGTCGACGTGAAGTTAATAAGCCGTTCTCCCAAGAGGAAATTAAGCAGGTTTTTTTTTGACATGGCTCCTTGCAAAGCTCCCGGCCCCGATGGCTTCAATGCCGGTTTCTATCAGCAAGCGTGGCAGACAGTAGGGGACTCGATTATTGCCTTTGCCTGAGATTTCTTTGAAAATGGTGTCCTCACAGAGGGAAGTAATGATACAGTTGTTACACTCATTCCCAAGACCCCTAACCCGGAAACGGTAAAATAGCTACACCCGATAGGTCTTTGTAATGTGACATACAAAATATTAACCAAAGCCATGATGACAAGATTAAAGGATATCTTGCAGGAGCTAGTAGGGCAGTACCAAACTAGCTTTGTCCCTGGTAGACAAATAACGGACAATATTATAATCTACCAAGAGGTTCTGAGCTCAATTAAGTCAAGAAAAGGGGTTGTTGGCTGGATGATTTGGAAGATTGACTTAGAGAAGGCATATGATCGTTTATCATGGGATTTCATCCAAGATATATACATTGGAGGATATAGGCTTCAACCGGACTTGGAGAAGGAACATCCTCGCTTGCATCCGCTCACCTAGACTCTCGGTAGCTTAGAATGGAGAACTCTCGGAATGGTTCAACCCCAGTCGCGGCATCCGACAGGGAGACCCTATTTCCCCCCTTCTTTTCGTCTTTTGTATTGAAAGACTGAGTCACCTAATTGAACAAAATGTGCTTGCAGGTCAATGGAAAGGGATTAGGCTGGCCAGGCAGGGCCCACTCATCTCCCACCTACTATTTGCAGATGATATGGTCCTATTTGGAGAAACCTCGATAGCTCAAGCAGAAATTATGATGCACTGCCTTGATACGTTCTGCAAGTCTTCGGGCGAACGAATTAACATCCTCAAGTCCTCCATCTTTTTTTCCAAAAATTCTCGGTTGGATGTCCAGCAAGCTGAGATAGAAAGAACTGGCATTCCTAAAGTGGACGACTTGGGAAAATATTTAGGGGTCCCTTCTATACATGGCAGACTAAAAAATGATTCTTTTGCAGGCATTCTTGACAAGGTCCGTAGTCGGCTTGCTGGTTGGATATCACAATCCCTCTCGCTAGCAGGAAGGCACATCCTTGTTCAATCAGTCCTCTCAACTATCCCCTACTATACTATGCAGACTACGCTCATTCCTAAAGGGGTGATCTTATCCATTGAACGACTGATTCAAAGCTTCCTTTGGGGCGCTAAAGAGGGGGAGAGAAAGTGCAATCTAGTCAATTGGAATATGGTGACGAGCTGCAAGGATACTAGCGGTTTGGTCATACGAAGACTAGAGGAAATGAACATCTCTTTTCTTGCTAGGCTAGGCTAGAGAGTATTGACAGGCGATGGCTCTATCATGGCTAGGATACTCAGAAGCAAATATGCCATCTCCAACTCTAACCCTTCCCTATGGCGTCCAAAACATAACATGTCGAACGCTTGGAAAGGAATCCTAAGGAGTGTCCCGTTAATTCAATCAGGTTCCAAGTACCTAGTACGTAATGGCAAAGGAACACTCTTTTGGCAGGATGTGTGGCTAGGTGATCGTCCATTGCGCGATCTGGCCTTATGCCCAATCCCAAATTCAATTGCTCAGTTCACTGTTTCTGAGTATTGGTCAGAGTTTGATGATTGGAAATGGGATGATATTGAGAGCCTCCTTCTCACTACCACGCTGGATGCCTTGGCTGTCATCTTAATCTGCCCTGAAGATAACATGCAGGATCAGATTGTCTGGGGTGGCGAGACATCAGGTCTGTTCTCTGTGTCATCAGCTTAGCATATTAACTAAGGTTTCAGTCGAAGTTAATGATTTGACCTGGGGAAAGATATGGAAGCTGAAACTGCCAAGCCGAATCAAAACTTTCATATGGCTTGTCAAGCATAACAGAGTCATGACTAACGTCAACAGGGCAATTAGAGGATTCATCACCAATGATAAATGTTGGGCGTGCCCTAACAATGCTGAGGACATTGATCACGTCATGAGAGGCTGTCCGAAGGCTCACACAATCTGGAAATATATTATCCCCGAGGCTGCTTCGTCACACACCCATTTTGCTCTATGGTTCGACCAAGGGATCTCGGATAGAATTAATGGTAGATTTCCTTCTAACTCTGCTATCCTTTTCGCAGTCTCGGTTTGGTGGATTTGGAGATGGCGAAATGACGCCATCTTCAACAATAAGGAAATCCATATGAATGCTAAAATCAACTGGATCCTTACCCAGCACAAGGAAATAGCCAAAGCCTCCCAGCCGAATGGGCTCCCTGATTCAGCAGCTTGGAATCGTCTCATCTGGACAAAGCCCCAATGAAATTACACTAAGATCAATATTGATGGCAGTGTACGCCCCAAGAACTCCACGGCTGGCTGCGGAGGTATTGCAAGAGATAGTTCAGGTAATTGGATTGGAGGCTTCGTTAGCAATATTGGCTCTTGCCCTCCGGTAATGGTTGAGGCTTGGGCACTCCTAAGAGGTATCCAACTTGCCAAAACACTCGGTCTCCAGCATGTTATATTTGAGAGTGATTCCAAGGTTATAGTTGATGGCATCACCTCAACCTCAATGAGAAACTCCCTTGTGTATAACCTCTTGGCAACATGTAGACGTGAGTTGCAGGGAATTAGAGATTGAAGAATTGCTTGGATTACTCGGGAGCATAATGGCACAGCAGACGCCCTTGCGAGATTAGCAAGCTCTCGTCCTCGTGGCGTTCATGTTCTTTCTCAGCCTCCAACAGAAATCGTTCCTTTCTTAGAAAATGATTATAGATTTTTTCCGCTTTGGCGCTATATCGCCTTGTAGGACAGTTTCTGTACTCTTATCATCCTTAAATTTATTGGTATCACCCTTCCTTTGGAGTTAAAAAAAAAATATGATCTTTTCCGTCATGATTTCTTTTTTCATGTATTATATAATTTTAGAGATTCTACCAATTATTTATTTACCCGGTAGGTTTTAAATGTATTTGATGGAAATTTTCAATCCAAATTATTTGACTGTTGCATAGCAAGAAGGGGGAAACCAGAGAGTAATGGAACTAAGAGTAAAGGAAGAAATCAGTATATGTATTATTGTTCTCAAACCTTTTAGGAGGGAACATGAGAGTTTATATACATGAGGTCTAATAGCTTAGCTACTGGACTCAACTACTGCTAACCACTTATTACAAGAAGCTAACCACCATTAACAGAAAGAGTAACTAATTATAACTGCCTGACATCTGCTAGTTGATGGATGGAGTGTTGCTGCTGTGCTTTGTATCTTCTGAGAGCCCCCCGCAAGCTAGATTGTATAGGTTAAACAATCCCAGCTTGGAAACATATTTGAAGAAGGAATTTGGACAGTGAGCTTTAGTTAGAACATCTACCAATTGATTTTCTGAGGTGACATGAAATAGCTTGATAATCCCCTTGTGTAATTTCTCTCTAACAAGGTGGCAATCTATCTCTATATACTTGGTTCTTTCATGGTAGACAGGATTTTCAGCAATAGCTATTGCAGACTTGCTGTCACAGTAGATAGCTGCAGGGATATTAGGATGTATGAAAAATTCATCAAGTAAATAAATCAGCCATTGAACTTCACATGTGGTTGCTGCTAAAGCTCTATATTCTGCCTCTGAGGAAGATCTAGATATGGTTGGTTGTTTCTTGGATTTCCAAGATACCAGAGCTTCACCTAGAAAAATGCAAAAACCAGTGACAGATTTTCTAGACTCAATACAAGCACCCCAATCAAAATCAGAGAAAGCCTTTAACTGGAAATCAGAACCAGCTGGAAAGAAAAGGCCTTGCCCAGGAGCTTGTTTAAGATATCTCAACACCCTGTGAGCTGCTTGCAGGTGTAGATGTGTAGGTTTATCTAGGAATTGAGATAATTGTTGTGTGGCAAAGCTTATGTCAGGCCTTGTGATGTTTAGATACAAAAGCTTTCCAATAAGTCTTCTATATTGAGTATTATCATCAAGAGGATCTCCTTCATTTCTACTCAACTTGTGGGAAAGAACTGTAGGGCTATGCACATCCTTGGATTCCATGAAGCCTGCTTCATCTAGCAACTCTAAGGCATACTTCCTTTGGGACACCACAATGCCTTTTCTTTGCCTGGCCACTTCAAGACCAAGGAAATATTTCAGAGGTCCGAGATCTTTGATTTGAAACTGATCATTAAGCTGTGATTTAATCTGCAATATCAAGCTTATATTAGGATTGGCCACTAGTATATCATCAACATACACTAATAGGGCCATAAAGGATGATCATTCCCCTTTGGTAAACAAGGAATTATCAGGAATAGCTTGCTTGAAACCCATACTCAACAGGGCCTGGCACAATTTGATATTCCACTGTCTGCTTGCCTGTTTCAAGCCATACAAAGACTTGATTAGCCTGCAAACCTGACCATCCTTCCCCTTTGCACAACTAGGAGGAAGTTCTATGTATACTTCTTCTTCTAGATCTCCATGGAGGAAAGCATTGTTCACATCCATTTGGTGTAAATGCCATTCTTTTGCTGCTGCTACTGCCAATAAGGTCCTAATGGTAGTCATCTTGGCCACTGGACTGAAGGTTTCTAAGTAGTCAATCCCAGGAGTTTGTGTGTAACCTTTTGCCACAAGTCTTGCCTTGTACCTCTCAACAGTACCATCTGCTTTGTATTTGATTTTGTACACCCATCTACACCCAATAGGTTTCTTGGTTGGTGGCAAATCCACCATTTCCTAGGTATTATTATTTTTCAAAGCAACAATTTCATTTTCCATTGCCTTCCTCCAACATTCATGTTTCACGGCTTCCTTGTAGCTTTTTGGCTCAGTCTGGCAATCAATACTCATTACAAAGGAATGAAAAGAGGTTGAGAGTTTAGTGTAGTTCACTACCTTAGAGACATCATGAGGAGAGGATCTGGCTATGGAACTGTGACATATATAATCCTCCAAGTAAGTTGGGAGGTTCCTTTGCCTAGTAGATCTCCTGATAACTGGTTGTTGGGATTCTATTGGAGGAATGCTGACTGTTTGATCAGGTTCTTCTGTTGCTTGTCCAGCTGCCTCATGAATAAAAGGACTATGGGATGATGGTGTTGGATCATGATTTCTGTCAATGTGAGGGGGACCCTGTGGATCATCAGATACCCCTGCTGATACATCAGTTGGTACTGAGAAAAATCCTTTTCTGGATTAGGACCATGCTGAAAAGGGAAAGAGTCCTCATAGAATATCACATCTCTTGACATAAAAATCACTCTTGAATGCAAATCATACAGTTTATAGCCCTTAGTGTCATTAGCATATCCCATGAAAATACACTTCTTAGCTCTAGCATCAAACTTTGACTTTGGTCCTACTGTAGCAGCAAAAGCCAAGCATCCAAAGACTTTCAGATGTTGATATTGAGGAACCTTGTTGAGTAGGACTTGATAAGGGATTTTATTATCAAGAGCAGCAGATGACAGCCTATTTATGATGTAGGCTGCATGTAATATGCATTCTCCCCAAAAAAATTCTGGTAGATTTGCTTGAAATCTTAGTGCCCTAGCAATAGATAGAAGGTGACCATGTTTCCTTTCAACCCTACTGTTCTGCTGAGGGGTGTGGGTACAAGATGTTTGATGTATTATCCCTTTTTGGATAAAAAAAAAGTCTGACATATCAAATTCAAGACCATTATCTGACCTTATACTCTTGACACATGCTCCAAACTGAACTTCCACCATTTTGCAGAACCCCACAATCAGACTCCTAACCTCAGATTTCTTCTTCATCAAGTGTATCCATACTGCCCTACTGTGGTCATCAACTATTGTAAGAAAGTAATGGTGACCATAGATAGTAGCAGTCTTATAAGGTCCACAAATGTCCATATGTAAGATATCAAAGCAAGCATCTGAAATAGAGTTACTAGAATGGAATGGAAGCCTTTTCTGCTTTGCAAAATGACAGCAATCAGAAACTAAATTCTTATTCATTTGAATTGTAGAATCCAACTCATGCAACAACTGAATCTTAGAGTGTGAGGCATGTCCTAATCTACCATGCCACAAGCTACATTTATTCAACTTTGAAGCAATGCTATTTACAGATTTTGAAGTAGTAGGAAAATTCAGATGATACAGCCCATTCTGGACTTCAGCTACTCCAATCTTCTTGCCATGGATAGCACCCTGTATGATACACTGATTAGTGTGCAATTTCATGGTGCAATTGGAGTTTTTGATGAGAGTTCCTACAGATATTAAGTTGTACTGAAAACCAGGGACATAAAGAACATTATGCAGAATGAGATCATCAGATAGGTATACAGAACCAATGTAGGTTATATCAACTTGATGTCCATTAGGCAAACCAACATGCATGTTTTGGAATTTACTTTGATTTGTCAATAGATTCAGTCTACAAACAACATGATGAGTGGCACCACTATCTAATATCTATTCATTATCCCTGAAATCTGTCAGATTAATATATAGCTTTGTACCTTCAGTTTGAGCTCCTGGCATTAAGTTGGCAGTAAAGGTGTTGGCATGTACTTCATGATTTGATTGATCCAGGGGTGTGCTTAAGGACCCTCTCTCAGAGGACCTTTGTGCATGCATAAACTCCGGGAATTTCTTGAAGTCATTCTGAGTAAAAGAAACGCCATCATCATGAACTGACTGCTGGGGTGTTGAGGGTCCCTGAATATGGTTGACAGACCCTTGACTTCTTGGTTTAGGCTTCCATCCGGGAGGGTACCCATGTTTTTTATAGCACTTGTCCTCTGTGTGTCCTGTGAATCCACAAAAGGTACACATGTGCTTCTTGTTACCTCCTGCAAACTTCTTGAAATTCTGCTGTTGGTTATTACCAGTCCTGGTCATTAAGACACTGCTTGTGGCACCAACTTCTCCTGCCTGATACAAGTGGCTGCCCATTCCATTGGTGCTAATATGAAATTGCCTTTCTTGTTGTGCTATCATCGAGTAGGCATCACATACATCCGGCAAGGGTCTCATAAGCATGATTTGATTCCTTGCACCTGTAAACCTATCATGTAATCCAATGAGAAATATAGATAGCTTGTCCTTCTCAGCCTGTTCATTTAACTCATCAATCTTCTTCCCACAACTGCACTTTGTGGTACAATCACAGCCTACAGAGGGCCTGAGAATCTGGAGTTCATCCCAGAGCAGTTTTTGTTGAGTGAAGTACTCATTGAGGGAGCTATCACCTTGTTTTGTTTGATATATCTCGCATTTGAGTTCTGCAATTTTGAATAGATCTTGTTGAATGAATCTTCATTTTAGATCCCTCCATATTCCATACGCAGTGTCAATCCAGAGTACACTGCGTCTAATCGTCGGGGAAAGAGATCGAACAATCCAGGAGACGACTATGTCGTTACAGCGCTCCCACACATCAAATTTCTGGTCATCCCTCGATGGTTTGGTAATGGCTCCATTAACAAATTTCAGTTTGTTTTTGCAGGATAATGCCATGGTCATGGCCCTTGCCCAGGGGTGATAGTTAGGGCCTTCCAATGGCGTAGAGACCAGCATCAACGCCGGATTCTCATTAGGGTGAAGAAAATATGGATTCGATTGAGATTGGGGATCGAACAATACCTCTGCTGTTGCACCTTGCTCGGTTGCCGGATTTGACGAAGCAGCCGGAGATTGATTTGGATTTCCCGTCGTTGGAGCTCCTGCCATATTGTCGACTGGGGTTGTTCTTGTTCCAATTGAAGGCCACGTCGTTGCCATCCTTGAAGAAGAGCTTCAAGGCTCTGATACCATGTTGCGTAGCAAGAAGGGGGAAACCAGAGAGTAATGGAACTAAGTGTAAAGGAAGAAATCAGTATCTGTATTATTGTTCTCAAACCTTTTAGGAGGGAACATGAGAGTTTATATACATGAGGTCTAACAGCTTAGCTACTGGACTCAACTACTGCTAACCACTTATTACAAGAAGCTAACCACCATTAACAAAAAGAGTAACTAATTATAACTGCCTGACATCTGCTAGTTGATGGATGGAGTGTTGCTGCTGTGCTTTGTATCTTCTGAGATTGACAGTTTCATAAGGGAAAGGATGTATGTTTCATGTATCAATTTTAGTTTCCTTATATCAAGTAGCCTCACCTAATACAACTCATCTTACAGCAAAAAAGGGGAACCTTTTTTTCTTACAAAGAATTAATCGTCAGCCACCATGAGCAAGAGGAGGAAGAGCAGAGTCACCAGACACAAGAACTCTCCCATTGTGGCTTCAATTACAAACTCCATGGCAAGACTTTCATCCTCAAGAAACCTGACAGAATAATGGCAGAAAATGTACAATAACCTCTTTTTAAATGTTAGCAGACTGTTGGTGTACTAGAAACTTGAATTCTGTATTGATCTGGCACTCCATGATGTAACTCATTCATCAACAGGTTTTTCCTCGCTGACTGGAGAAATTTTATCCTCTTCTTTTTCTTCTGAGTTGGTAACCCCACTTTGATCGCCATTAGGTGTCCCGCCATTCTCCACCGAAGGCAAGTTCCCATTTTCAGATATAGTCTTGTTCTCTACAGTGTGAATTGGTTTTGGAAGTTCTCGAGACGGAGAGGTTGCCAATAGCTTGCTAATTCCTTCAAATAAATTCTTGGCATCGGCTATTAGAGTAGCCCCACCGGGGTAACAACGGCCAAAGCATGTAACACAATGTGGAAAAGCAACCTGGGCAAGACCGAGGTAAATGAGATAGGGATATTGCAAGTTCAGACTTTAGAAAAGGTTGAGTTTATAGAGAGCGCACCTCAATGAATGCTCGACAAAGTGAGATGAAAAGCACAGACTCATTCTCTCGAAGCATGCGAGTTGCATTATATCTCTGCAAAGAATCAGAGACAGCCTGCAATCCCTTGACTAGTTCTTGAGCAAGCACATGCTTCAAACTTAAAGGGGCACACGGGCGTAATTCATTCATTGCAGCAGATACACCTGAAATAAATACAGATTATAAACCTTAAATACAAAAGCTAAGGCTTTTCAGTTCGAAAACACATCAAACATACCATTAACAAAAATAGCAAGAGGCGGATGCTCCATCAGACTTGAAGGAGGAGTAACATCCTCCTGGCTTTCATCACCCAAACTGCTGGCAGGAAAGCCAACTGATGGCAATGGGACCCAGCGATGAGAATCCAGTACCAACTGGAACAAAGTGAGACATAATCTCTAGTCATGCTTCAGAAAAGAACTTCAACCCAAAAGTTTTATACTTCAGGAAAAAAAAAAATAACAACAAATCTATGACGAAGGTGAAGCTGTATAACATGTAAACATATACCTGAAAATTCTCAACTGCTGTATTCATGTTCTTGGTAAATAGATTCAGGACTGCACTGTTCAAGTAACCACATTGAAATGGATGTGAAAACTTGATTTTTAGGAAACTTAAGAATTGTAATAAATGAAGAGATGTTGGATATTTACTCTTCAAAAAGAGTGGGAAGCAAGCCTCGAAAGTCCAATCCAACCCAACCAAGTCCCATAGCACAGTACTGTAAACACAAACAGATGGAAGAAGCCATCATGCAAGCGTAAAATCCAAATAACTAAATACAGGATAAGGTATAATCATATTCAAGTTGCAAGCTCACGAATAAAAAGAAAAAATGTTTTAAACTTATATCAGTTTCTAAATAATTAAGATAGCTCAAGGACCAGCCAATCTGGTTATGTCAGGGGGCATCGTTGGGATGCCTTAAATGTATAATGGCATCAAACTTAATCGGAGAAAACAGAATATCCTGTCTTCCTAATACAGCCAACCCACTTGAGAAATTTACATCAGTCAATACCAAAACTTCCCAAGTTCAAGTGGCTGATAGCACCTAAAAGAGACTAAGCTCTTAGTCTAGACTCAATAGAAGTATGCTAACTTTGTGCTAATTATTAGAAAGTTTACCTACAAATATTACATGAATGTCCAACCACACCCAAAAACAGAAATTGACAAAAGGCAAAGTGGATAAGAAAAAAATAAAAATAAAAAATTCTCACCATGCACTGATCCAGAATATTTGACAAGGATCCTCCTTCATTGATCTTGGGAAGCATGACCTTAAGAGTTCTGAGGTGGGAAGAGATTTGATGCATGGCCCAATTGAATAAAAGACCACCATCATAGCTCTCTTCTCTTCCTGATGTATCATCAGAAAATGTTGCACGGATTGGTTAACAACATCAAAAAGATGCATTCTATGACAATTGATCATCCCTTTGAGATATTCATAAGCGTTCCGTTGTTCCAAGTCATCAAGAATCCCAGTAAGCCATGCCTCACGGCATCTTAGAAACTGTAGGGTAAAAATGTATTCGGGTGAGGAATTTGAAAAATGCATTAACTAGAAAGAGGAAGTAAAGGGTCTTCAAAAAAAACAAAAAAAAAAAAAAAAAAAAAAAAAAAAAAAAAAAAGAGGAAGTAAAGGTATGGAGCAACATTTGGTAAGACCTACTATGAGATTGAAAGTTACCTGTAGGCGCATTTCATACTCACTGAACACTCCTATTCGACGCAAGTATCCAATGATGCGGAGGCATTCTGGTAACTATAAAAAGGGGAATGCAGAGAGTAAATTTAAGAGCTTCTGAACTACTATTGTGTTCCAAGCTTGGCAGGACATAAAAATTTACCTGAATGTTTGATCTAAGTTTTTGGAGAAGCTGAGAAAGAAGAGATTGGGTGGTCTGCCGTACTTCTGCTGCAAGAGCTTGGATGACAGGCAATCTTTTGACAGAAAGAAAGAGGGCATAAAAGAGGAGGTCATTAGTTAATAAAACTTACACCAACTTTATATATGTATTCAAATCATATATAGGAAAACAAGGAGAAAGATGCTCACTTCGGGTGCATTGTTGAAAGCTTGGCAACAAAGGCTTCTAAATCAAGAGCTTCATCATAATTTCCATTCCTAACACATCTACAAAATGAAGGGATAAATAAATTCATTTTTCCCACATCCATTAATAAAAAGAACAAAGAAAATACAGAACAAGTCTACACATGTGATTCATGGACCAACAATTATAGACATAGACCAAGATAACTCTAATGATACCCACCGCCAAATACCAAAGATCGTACTCAGATCCATGTTCTATTAAAATCTATTATACCAATCAAATGCTATCTATTAACCAATATATTGCATTGTATAACTTGAATAAAAAACAGTAATTGCACATTAGCACATAAACCACATTGATAAGAAAATGCCATTAACCATTTCAAACCCTGCAGCACAGTGGCCATTTTCTCAATTTTTTAACAGAAACTCAAATTCAGAAACATGCATGAAAAAATAAATTTCTTTAGAATGTAATTGGTGAGTCCCGACACTTTTGTTAGCTTTAACTAAAAAGTTAAATTATCCCTCAACATTGTCAAAGACATACGTATCCATAAGCTGAGGAATTTCAAGCAAGTCAAGCAAAGTACTGTGATTTGCAAGCAGTGTTTGGTTCATTTTTCTCTTCTCCAAAATTTCTTCTGCAGAGTCAATGAACTCAGTGCAACCAGAAGTTAGCTTAGGAATTTCATCTATCTGCAAAAGAAGAAGAGGTACCATCAACACTTCGTCCTTACATTTATTAAAATTCTCGTCTGAATGATCCATAAAGCAAAGAAGGAAAACAAAGTTAAACTCATTTTTGAATATAGCCTAGAAAAATTCTGGATTGCATTACCACAAGCATGAAGAATAATAGAGAAATTTTCTTCAGATTTCCGGAAAGTGAGGTACAAGCTTCTAAAGCCCCATTCTCTATAGAAATATGATATATAAAAAGGCACCAACTAAAGAATAAGCTAAAATTACAAATTGAAGTAATAGGAAAAGATAAAGAAGATCAGATCAGATTACTGCACAGTTTCTAGTCAGTCATTGATCACATGCCTGCATGCAGCCCGAAAGGCATTACAAGTAATAAGGTCGGGACAATGAATAGGGGAAAACATGAAAATGCTGAACAGACTTCTTGACAATCATTACAATTTGAAAACAGCGAATTTATAATTTCTTTGTATGGAGTAACTTTTTTGGTGAGGCAACCACCTGATCAAGGTGAGATTCATTGGGTGCAAGACAGATTCATTAACACCTTATAGTATATCAATATGGGTTAGTTATCCAAGATTCGTTAACACCTTATAGCATATAAATAAGAGCTAATTACCAAAAAAGGCAAGAACTTTACCCGAAATCACTAGAATAATCCCACAGTAAAACAATGACAAGTCATGAATTGAGGCAAGAAAATAAGATTACACTAAGAACGATAGTGCACAAGTCAAAGGTTTCATCCAAGTTTCAGTTAGTTCTCGTACTTAGAAAGAGAGATTAGGCACATGATGCTCATTTAGCAATGTGTTAAAATCTTGTTTAAGCATGCAACCAATGAGAAAGTAAACAAGTATGCTATGATTGTTAGCCGTATATTAAGTACATCCCTCAATTCACTATATGAAGTTTGGACCAAATTGGGGAGAAGTTTGTGCCTTTTTAGATAATTATTAACTATATCAACATCACGAACTTGATTGTTATTGTAGAACAACACCAATGTTGTATCTCCATGAGAAAATTAACAGAAATTTAAGGTAGCAGACAGGAAATTACCATGGATTCAAGGTGTTTATCAATAGAAGAAACTTCCTCTCGAATAGCAAGCAGCGCATCGGCCGAGGAGATGAACGCCCGGTAGTTTCCCACCGC